GAAACACCCTAAACCATCTAAGATGACGGGGGTGGTGTGCTAGCCAAACTACAATAGAAAAGGGTTTGACGCATTTTTTAAAATAGAGGAGGATAACGCATAGATTTAGTATATTATAGGGTTTTGGTGCATTTCACCCAAATGAATTCATAAACAATCACCCCATTAGTTTTTCCTCTCAAGCTAGGTACCCCTCATAATTTAGCTCGGGAGGCAGAATCCAAATTCCACCAGGTCAGTCCTTATACTGAGAAGCAGCGATGGAGGAGGAGAGGCAAACCATATACAAGATATCAAGGACGATAAAACGCAGAGAGAGCAGCCTCTACAATGCCTTACGCTCCATCTATCAAGACTCCATTTTTGTCGGAGAAATTTCTCAGTTGTGGCCGGACCTGCCTCTGCTCGCCAACCTCCGATGTGGCCTTTGGTACTACCCTAAATTCCACTCTAATTGCTATTTTAAATCCACTGATGGCCACACCAACAATTTGTCTTTCAACACTTCCCGCCTCAATCTCCACGTTGCCCTCCTCGCTGGTATCCTCTCTCTCTCTCTCTCTCTCTCTCTCTCTCTCTCTCTCTCTCTCTCTCTCTCTCTCTCTCTCTCGTGTGTGTGTGTGTGTGAGTGAGTTCTGTATTTTCTATACATTTGTATGTTTTTGTTGTATGTGCAAATATGCCCACTTATTCGCATTTTGGACATTCCTAGCCGTAAGTGCATAGATTATCAACAAAGAGTTGTTGATTTGTAGGATAATTGTAACTACATTAACCATAAACTGCTGTCTTTTCCTGAGTAGAGAATCAAAACTTGTGGTTGACCAGCTTTTATTTGAATAGAGTGAATAGGCCGATATAGTAAATAACTAGTGCAGGCAAAAGATGTCAGATTCGATGAAATATTGTAGGCTTTCTCATGTTGAGTATTAGCCATCTGGCATGGCAAGAAAACATTAAGCTTGTCTACCTCGTTCTCCATCATCTATTGGTGAATGTCATGTTGGCATAATTTGTCCGGTAAGTGATAAAATCCTGCTGGAGCCCTCATTGCCAATTGGCTATAGGATGATGAGTTATTGGTGTTACTTACCAGTCGGGTTCACTATGCAGTGTTGTAGAAATTTGGTTTTATACAGTGTTGAGTTATAATAAATACCCCACATGTGAACTTTCTATGGGATAAAGTTGACTTTTGTGCACAATGTTGTTAAATGGCGATTAGGGTGCTGCCATAATGGAATGGCTCTGCGTGATGGATTTCTGCCATTGGCCACCAGCTGCCATGGAGGTGTATAGAGTGAAATTTTGGTCAGCTGTGATTTTTAGCCATTCTACATTGATGAAATTGTTTGACAACCAAGCAACTTGAATCCAATGCATAACGTGAACTTCTTTGATGTGTCAGGGGGTGATTCGAAGTTTTTCAATATCAATGTGATTTAAAAATCAACATAACATAGTTGGTAAGTTTTAAAAGATTAGATTGTTCATTTGTTTGTTGTTTATGTGAAACAAGTGAGAATACAAATGTAAGAAAATGTATTATTGAATAGATAGTTCCTCACTCATGGATACTATATTTTCTTGCTAACTTTACATTAATAAGTTGATTATTGAAAATAACTTGTTGATCTATTGGGTTATCCGGTGGATGAAAGGCATATTATGCTACATCATTTGCAAGGACAACGTTCCGTAGATTTGCCATACAAATTATAACGTATAGTATAGTGCAATGTTTGAGTTCAATTTGGTGTTACTAGGGGATTTAGTTTCAAGTATGTGCTGTGTTCCGAATCAGTATAGTGCCTGCATATATCTGTTGAGTCATTTTCTTTGATATTATAATGTGTAGTGACTAGTCTCTGTGCTTTTTGATTGGTAGGACAGAAGGGAGGATGCATGATTGTTGATTCGACAAGGAGAGGGAAGAGATTTCCTGACAGCATGTCCAAAACTATTCCAATTTGGACCTGTGTTTTAAACCGTGCAATTTATGGGTATAGGCATAGGGCAAGAGTTGACTGCAAGTATTCTTCAGATATTGTAAGTGGATATACCCTATTTATTATAATTTCAATGTGCCTTCTTATGAATTCAAATTGGAATTTGTTAATGGCTTTGACTATTATTGGTTTTTATATGCCTACGGTTTGTTTTTTTTTTTTTCCG